GGGCTGATCTCCTTTAGGATGGACTGGTTGGATCTCCTTGCAGTCCAAGGGACTCTCAAGAGTCTTCTCCAACACCACAGTTCAAAAGCATCAATTCTTTGGCATTCAGCTTTCTTTATAGTCCAACTTTCACACCCATACATGATTACTGGAAAAACCACAGCCTTGACTAGACAGACCTTTGTTGACAAAGTAATGTCTCTGCTTTTTAATATGCTGTCTAGGTTGGTCATAACTTTCCTTCCAAGAAGTAAGTGTCTTTTAATTTCATGGCTGCAGTCATCATCTGCAGTGATTCTGGAGCCCCCAAAAGTAAAGTCCACCACTGTTTCCACTGTTTCTCTATCTATTTGCCATGCTCTTAGTTTTCTGAATGTTGAATTTTAAGCCAACTTTTTCATTCTCCTCTTTCACTTTCATCAAGAGGCTCTTTAGTTCTTCTTCACTTTCTGCCACAAGGGTGCTGTTATCTGCATATCTGAGGTTACTGATATTTCTCCCGGCAGTCTTGATTCCAGCTTGTGCTTCGGCCAGCCCAGAGTTTCTCATGATGTACTCTGCATAGAAGTTAAGTAAACAGGGTGACAATATACAGCCTTGACGTACTCCTTTTCCTATTTGGAACCAGTCTGTTGTTGCATGTCCAGTTCTAACTGTTGCTTTCTAACCTGCATACAGATTTCTCAAGAGGCAGGTCAGGTGGTCTGGTATACCCATCTCTTTCAGAATTTTCCACAGTTTATTGTGATCCACACAGTCAAAGGCTTTGGCATAGTCAATAAAGCAGAAATAGATGTTTTCCTGGAACTCTCTTGCGTTTTCAATGATCCAGCAGATGTTAGCAAAGGGCAGACAGACTGAAAACCATCATCACAGAAAACTAACCAATCTAATCACATGGACCACAGCCTTGTCTAACTCAATGAAACTATGAGCCATGCCATGTAGGGCCACTCAAGACGGACGGGTCATGGTGGAGAGTTCTGACAAAATGTGGTCCACTGAGAAGGGAAGGGCAAACCACTTCAGTTACTTTTGCCTTGAGAACCCCATGAATAGTATGAACAGTATCTCAAGGGTGAGGAAAGACTTGGTTGTATCCCCAGCACAGTCCACAGAAGATTGGACCACTCAAAAAATATTTGGGATGAATTAATGTGGGACAGACAAGCTAGGCTGCAGGGAGTGTTAGCATGGAGATAATCTGGCTCTTGTGACAGAAAGGAAGCTGCCTCTCTCAGTGAGTCTGGAGAAGGATTACAGAAGGCTTTGGAGCTGAGTCTTAAGAGAGAAACTGGTACAAGGTACAAGGATGCGTGCAAAGTGCCTTTAGGGGATTACCACTGGGATTAAAGCATGGGGAGAAAGGTGGAGAGCAGTGAGAGATGATCCTGGAGAGGGGGGCAGGTCTCAGATCATGGTGGGGGGACTGTGTATGCCAGGCTAAAGAGGCAGTGAGGAGTTACAAAAGGGCTTCATGTAAGGATGAGATCACATCAGATGTGGTCTTTAGAGAGATAGCATGAATAATAATGACAATAATAATGACAACTAATCTTAATTTATTAATTGCTTATCATGTCTCAGACACAGTGCCATGTGCTTGACAAGGTCACAGCTTGGATGTGAACCTTGGCAATTTTACTTCAGAGACCATGCTCCTAACCACCACGCTATAGTGCTTGGACTGCAGGCACCTTAGTATCAGGAAATTGATGAGGGAATTTGGATAAGAAATGAAATACCAAATCAATGGTATTAGATGAAGTAAAGTGAAGTCATAGGGACTCTTTGAGACCCCAATGGACTGTAACCTGTCAGGCTCCTCCGTCCATGGGATTTTCCAGGCAAGAATACTGGATTGGGTTGCCATTTCCTTTTCCAGGGGATTTTCCCGACCCAGGGATTGAACCCAGGTCCCCCAAACTGCAGGCAGACTCTTCACTCTCTGGACCACTTTTGATGTGAGCATGGTATTAGACAGGGAGGGTTAAGAGGTAAAAAGGAGAGGGGATTCTCAGGATTTGGAGACCAATTGGGTGTGGTAAATGAAGGGGTGGGAGAAGTGGAGATGTCTTTCAAATTTCTGGTTTGAGTGTCAGTGTGGAGGATGGTGCCATCACTGTGACATAAGAAAAGCAGGATATCACTGTGATGAAGTTACGTCTTCTTCCATTGCTTCTTTTTCATTGCCCTGGTACAACTTCTACAAAGAAAATCATGAGCTCCCAGAAAAGACCAGAGTAGTTCTTGTAAATTGCTCTATTTAGACTCTATACAAGCAACAAGATGCAGAATTCATTAAGGAATGCAATTTTTCATTTGTTGATAGTTCCAATATTGAAATAGACTGAGTTTGATGGAATAATAAATATATCTTATGAATACCAAAGGTAGGTTTTTCAATTATTTTCTCTGTCTAAAAAAACAGACTCAATTTCAATGTCATTTGGTCAAATAGAGGGGTTATTAAGTTCATTACCAGTGGTTATTTTCAGCTGTAGACTTTTACAGAGAAGTAGTTGTGATGCATGGGGACTTCAGTCCTTGTCACAACAGGACAGTGATGAGGACAGGGTATCCAGGGCAACTAAGAGTTCAGCCTTTTCAGTCTTGAATAATCACTTTCCAGCTTGCCCTTTGAAATGCTGGGTCTCTGAGCTACTTCATGACAGAATGAGTTTGTTCAGGAGGCCACTATTCTCTTTCTTACATTTGGTTTAAATGGCTGCTAAGAAATATTTTATAAGAAAGGCAGTATTTCAATTCCACTGTAAATGGCATTGGCAAAAATCTGCAACTTATTCTTCTGTTCTTAGCTCTGGCTATCAGGGTACTCTGAGTAACCAGCACACAGGGGTATGTGTTTCTAGTGGGTAGGTACTCTTTAGGACCAAGGTTGCTTGAGGTGTTATATATGCTTGATAATTCAGTTTAATGAAAGCACAGCTAAATAAGGCAAGACCAACCTGGGAGGGTGGTCAAGGTGGTAAAAAGAACACTAAAGAAAAACTAATATCATCTCCCCCACTACCTTTTATGCTTAGAACCAATTTGTATTCCTCATCTGTGATTTGAAAGTTCTCTCCAGAGTAGAAATCTCAACTTCTGCTAGATATTCATAGCACTCAATTGACAATTAAGTAACATATCAAGAAGTCCATATCATGGAGGCTAGAAGCTTAGATTTGAGAGTCATGCCAAACTAGTTCTGTGTCACTTTACTCAAGTCTGTTTTCTCATCTAAAAATGGGAACTCAACAGTGCTTACTACATAGGATAGCAGCAAGGAGTAAGTGAGAAACACAATGCCTATTGTCAGGGCCTCTGAGATTTCTAAGAGCTACAAAGAAAGTGGAGATCTGGGGGGGAAAAAAACTACTTTAAAATAGAAAATGAAAACTGAAAAATTGATATTTAACTCAATACTTAAAACATAACTTATCCACTGTTAACTACACTTAACCTTTATGTAACTTTATATAAGCATGAATCAAAGGTGCACAGTTTTATATTTCCTTTCAAAAATTGTCGGGTTAAAAAATTGTATTTATTACTGGATTTGAAAGTGCATTTTAATATGTTTGATCTGATGTTGAATGTAGCATTATAAGTAAATGTTTGTTTGGTCTATGGAGATCTTAAATGCTTTTAGGTTCTTAAATGGCAGTTCTAATTACCATTATTATAATAAAGATTTTATTCTTCTGCCCCATGACATTTCTTACATTGCGACTGACTGTTCTGTGAATGTTTCTGCCTTGTCTTTTCGATTAAACCATAAGATCCATGAGGATCATACTGAAGAAAAGATGGAGTAAAATCACTGGGCTTTGTTTTGGGCTCTACCACTGAGCAGGTATGGAAGCTTGAGTCCAGAATTTAGTTTCTTCAATTGAAAAACAGGCAGACTGTGGCCTGCTCCAGGCCGCCTGCTAGTTTACAGAGAAAATGAAGGGCTGCATTTAAGAGTGCTTTAACTGTATAAACATACAGGATAGTATAAGCTTTGCTGAAGTACCTGCAATGCCTCTCATGGCTAGAGACACAGGGAAGAGTTAGCAAAAATCCGGTGACTTCCAAAAACGTTTTTTTCTGCCACCACATCCAAGCAATACTTGTTTTAGCTATGCTGCTGCTGCTAAGTCACTTCAGTCGTGTCCGACTCTGTGAGACCCCATAGACGGCAGCCCACCAGGCTCCCCCGTCCCTGGGATTCTCCAGGCAAGAACACTGGAATGGGTTGCCATTTCCTTCTCCAATGCATGAAAGTGAAAAGTGAAAGTGAAATCGCTCAGTTGCGTCCGACTCTTAGCAACACCATGGACCGCAGCCTACCAGGCTCCTCCGTCCATGGGATTTTCCAGGCAACAGTACTGGAGTGGGGTGCCATTGGTTTAGCTATAGTCTCTTCCTTTTTGTTCATTCATTTAATGGATACTTTAAGAACACATACTGAGCCTGTTCTATGTGCCAGGGCTTGTGCTAGGGATCTAAGAGTGCAATGAAATACCTAGAGTCTACAGTAAAATTATTCTTTTTCTTTCGTTTTCATGTAGGGTTTTATATCTTACCACACAATTAACATACATTGTCTGAAGGTGCAAACTAAGTCACTTTAGTAGTGTGACACTTTGCAACCCCATGCACTGAAGCCTGCCAGGCTCCTCTGTCTATGGGGTTCTCCAGGCAAGAATATGGAGTGGGTTGCCAGGGCCTTCTCCAGGAGATCTTTCCTACCCAGGAATCAAACCTGGATCTCCCACATTGCAGGCAAGATTCTTTATCATTTCAGTCATCAGGGAAGCCCATTATCTGAAGATAAATAAGAGAATTTAAAACAAGACAATGCCTCCAGTATTACAACACTATTTCAGAACAGTCTTCATGGGAAGTGTTCTCATTCGGCCCTACTTTTCCCAGGCAAGGCTGGGCTTTGTTAAGGAGTGGCTTGATCCTTGATTAAGGCAGTAAACAAAGTTGCAAAACCCTGGACTCACAGGTGGCAGGCAGGAGTTCCACGTGGTTGTGTCGTCACTGCTGGTGCTTATGCTGACATTACAGTTGTCAACCTGGGATGCGCTCAGGCCATAGGGAGCCCCAGTGTCCTCCAGTTCTTCATTCTGTTGCCGTCGTAGGCTGGCGAGCATTTGCAACTCAGATTCACTAATCTCACTGGGCTGATAGTTTCTCCAGTCATACTCCTGAGCAAGAGAGAAGAAATTGAAAGAGCAATGAGTCATTTGGCCTTTCTTAATTTTATGGGCTACCAGTAAATGCTACTCTACAGCCTTAGCCCCTACAATGGCTCCCCATTGACAAAGAGGCCCAGATCCTTAATATGCCCTCACATGATGCCCCTGCCGGCTGCCTCACCTTGTCGTCTTCTCCTGACATGTCAGTCACACTGTCCTTCGTTCAGGTCCTCAGAAGCATTAAACCCACTCTTGCCTTAGTGCCTGTGTACATGCCAGTTCTAGTGTGCTCATGCCCAGCTGTCCACCAGGGCCCAGATTATGTGTTTATCTTCAGAAACGCTTTTCCCGACAGCTCAAAACTGGGTCAGTTCCTCCATATTATGTGCTCTCAGAGAATCCCACAGTGTACATTTTTAGCACCATCACAGCTGCAGGTACCTAACTGGTTTTGGAGTCCACAGGTAGTCTATGAGGGCTGCAAAGGCAAGCTCCACGACTGCCTTACTTCCATTATATTTCCCATACCTGGAGCCAAACCCGTATTTGAGGACTGACTAAACAAAAATTCCAAACGGTTTTTTTGGAAAAGAAAAAATCACCTTTCATAAAAAAGTCTGGTTTATAAGAGAATTGATAAATTTCATCAGTGCGAACACTAGGATCAAATAAATTCAACTAACAGTAAGAATGAAGATAACTAATGTTGTTAAAAGCCATCAAATAAAATATGAGCTGAGGATGGGAACAGGTAAGGTCTGAAAGCCAGAAAGACCTCAGAGCTACCATAAACCCTGAAACTCACGTGGACTTTACTATATATATGTAATCTGTCAAGTCTACGACTATAAATCTTCAGAGGCTAGTATAAATATTATTTCAATGTACGGGGAAGAAACTGGCATATGGAATTTTCAAACCTCTTTTCTCTGGCTTAAACCAAATCTGGTAGCTAACATTAACTTCAACATTGCTGAAATGTTAGCATCACATATGAATGAGCAGTGTGATTTACATCTAGGACTGGCATACAACTTGAAAACAAACTTGAAATCGTTTTGTACATCTGGAATCAGTGATTATGGTCAAAAAGTTTTTTTTTTTTCCATGACATGTAAGACTTTTTAAGATACTCAAATTTCTAAATTTGTTTTCTTGGATGATTCTCTGAGATAGCTACTGTCTTTTCTTCTGCCTCATCGGGATGTAAAAGGTTAAGAAAATAACAATTGAAAAAAATTCTTAGTGTTTCTATGACACTAAAAGCTTTTTAATAAAGCATTATTATCATCATAACTTTGGGGTTATGAAAGCCTGTGATCTAATAATGTGATGTGGAGATTTTCTGCGAAGTTGCCAATGGAAACTCACTTAAATTCTTATAGTTCATGGCTTCAGCAGCTTGGCACCCTTAATAGATGTCATGAGTAAAAGAGTTCATGAGCATTTAATATGCTTAGAGAGTTCTTTGAATAAAACAGATATTACAAGAAGAAAAACAAAGTTTATATTCCAAAAAAAGGCACTTTAAAAAGGGAAAAATAAAAACAATTTAAATTCAAAAGAAATAGGGGAGCAATAAACAAAAAGATGCCCAACATCACTGTCATTAGAGAAAGCAAATCAACACAACAATGAGAGACCAGTCACATCCACTGGGATTGTTATAATACAAAGGATAGACAGTAATAAGTGCTGGTAAGGATGTGGAGAAACTGGTATCCTCATATATCACTGGTTGTGATTATAAAATGGTGCAGTCACTTTGGAAAAGTTTGGTGGTTCCTCAAAACATTAAACATGGGCCATGGGGCCAGCAATTCACTTGCTGGGATATATCCAAGAGAACTAAAAATATATGTGTGTACAGAAACTTCCATATGAATGTTCATTATCAGTATTATTCATAATAGCCCCAAAGCAGAAACCACCAAATGTCCATCAGCTGATGAATGGATTTTTGTTTACCCATACAATGGAGTATTATTAGCCATAAAGATACATGATACAAGATGGGTGAATGTTGAAAATATTATGCTAAGTGAAAGAAGCCTGAGACAAAAGGTCACGGATTGTATGATTTCATGTATATGAACTATACATAAAAGGCAAGTACAGAGATATAAGGGAGACAGGTGACTGTCCAGGGACTGGGGAGAGACGGAATGGGCAGTGATCTCTATCGGGTAAGGGGTTTCTTTCTGGGGTGATGCAAATGTTCTGAAAGCAGGCTGTGTTGTAGTAATGGTTACAGAATGTCCTGAATATACTAAAAACTTCTGAACTTTATGGTATATGAATTAATCATACCTCAATTAAAAAAAAAGTAGTTCAGAGAAAAGGGAACCCTCTTACACTGTTGGTGGGAATGCAAATTAGTACAGCCACTATGGAAAACAGTGTGGAGACTTCTTAAAAAGCTGGAAATAGAACTGCCATATGACCCAGCAATCCCACTTCTGGGCATACACACTGAGGAAACCAGATCTGAAAGAGACACGTGCACCCCAATGTTCATCACAGCACTGTTTATAATAGCCAGGACATGGAAGCAACCTAGATGCCCATCAGCAGACGAATGGATGAGGAAGCTGTGGGACATATACACCATGGAATATTACTCAGCCTTTAAAAAGAATTCATTTGAATCAGTTCTAATGAGATGGATGAAACTGGAGCCCATTATACAGAGCGAAGTAAGCCAGAAAGATAAAGACCATTACAGTATACTAACACATATATATGGAATTTAGAAAGATGGTAACGATAACCCTATATGCAAAACAGAAAAAGAGACTCCGATGTATAGAACAGACTTTTGGACTCTGGGAGAAGGCGAGGGTGGGATGTTTCAAGAGAACAGCATTGAAACACGTATATTATCTAGGGTGAAACAGATCACCAGCCCAGGTTGGGTGCATGAGACAAGTGCTCGGGCCTGGTGCACTGGGAAGACCCAGAGGGATCGGGTGGAGAGGGAGGTGGGAGGGGGGACCGGGATGGGGAATACATGTAAATCCATGGCTAATTCATTTCAATGTATGACAAAAACCAAAGCAATGATGTAAAGTAATTAGCCTCCAACTAATAAAAATAAATGAAAAAAAATTTATAATAATGAAAAAAAAATAAAAAAATAAAAAAAATAAAAAAAAGTAGTTCAGTAATCAGATGTGAAAAAAAGACTAGCCATTTGACTTTGGGCTATTTTGTCCTTCAGCTTTTCTGTCAAGAAGTAGAACTAAACATTCTAACACGTCACGTGGTGGTGGTGTAGTTGCTAAGTCGTGTCCAACTCTTGTGATCCCATGGACTGTAGCCTGCCAGGCTCCTCTGTCCATGGAATTTTCCAGGTAAGAATACTAGAGAGGGTTGCCATTTCCTCCTCCAGGGGATCTTCCTGACCCAGGGATCGAACCTGGGTCTTCTGCATTGCAGGCAGATTCTTTACCACTGAGCCACCAGGGAAGCCTAACATGTCACACAGGTATGCATTGATAATACACACTTTTAAAATGAAAAAGGAAATTTTGTTTTCACAATTTTTATTAAGAATAAAGCTTTTATATGTACTTAGTATGATTAATTCAGCCATTTTATTTATTTATTATTTAATCTACAAGCCTATTCTGTGCCCGAGGTACAACCTTGGGTGCTAGGACAGAAAAACAAGAGCGAATGGGCCAGTGGTTAAGTCACACAGATCTGAGTCTGGGCCCTGGTTTCACCTTTTACCAGCTGTATGTGATTGGGAAAATCACTTTATCTTTCCATGCCTTAGTTTTTTCATCTGTAAAATGGGACCATAGTATATACCTCATGGGATTTTCAGCATACTAAATACTGACTATCAAATGCTTAGAACAGTACTTGACAAACAGCTCTACTAAGTGTCTCCAAATTTATGATTTGTGCCCTGTTGTTATTATTCTTTCCTCTCATTTTCTCTGGCGCCTTTCATCTATTCTGTACTATGCTAGGAGCTAGGAGAATAAAGAAAATGAGACACATCTCTATTCTCACGGAGCTCACAGTGTAGAAAGGGAGAGATAGCAGGTATTATAAACTGGGGTATCAACAATACATATGGGATCTAGAAAAATGGTACAGATGAACCTATTTGTAGGGCAGGAATAGAGATGCAGACACAGACAACAGACATGTAGACACAGTGGGGAAGTGGAGGGTGACACGAACTGAGAGAGTAGATTGACATATATTTATGTCAATTATATATATATTTTGTACAAAATTACAAAGCAATTATGCTTCAGTTAAAAAAATCAGGCTATTATAATGTATCATGATCAATACTACAACAGATATGTGACTAAGATGCAACTGTCCAGCAGAATTAGAAAAAGCCTCACAAAACCAAAAGCGAGCAGAGACACCAGGGTCATGAATAGAGCAACTGGCGGAGAGGTAATTAACTTAGTCCCTTGATATATTCTTGATTGCAATCTCTTAAACCATTCCAAAACCCCAGAAAAGGCTAAATCATTTATTTATATATATAAAGGCTTGCAATAAAGTCTTCACATTAAAGTAGACCCAGCACAAGATGTCATCTAACTAAACTGCAACTCCTAAGAGGCAAAGTGCCTTTTGTAATTCTATCTCTGAAAGGCTCAAACTGTTACGTATAACCCAATTTTGCCTCAAAATATCCTTGTAGGACAGAGAGGAGACAATATCAATCAGATTTATTTTAGGAGCAGGTAATGGGCTCAGGGCTATATAATTCAGCTGTGCTTAGATTCCCGGGCAAGTCCTTCCCTTATAAAGCCAATCGAACCATTCGTTTTCATTGATCTTTTTTCAGACAGTTTTGGGAATCTAAGTCTGTGAAGCTAGAAAGGTAAGATGTGGCCCTTGCTTTCACAGGTCTTACAATCTAGGAGGGTAATAGTTCTAAAGAAATGAGTATACAAAAAGGTAACATAAACTGAGGTACAGTATTAATAGCCACACAGAGTTTTGATAGTGATTAAAAGGAAAACCGGTAA